TTTTTTTTTTTCTTGCGTTATGCGGGCCTCTCACTGTTGTGGCCTCTCCCATTTGCGGAGCACAGGCTCCGGACGCGCAGGCCCAGCGGCCATGGCTCACGGGCCCAGCCGCTCCGCGGCATGTGGGATCCTCCCGAAACGGGGCACGAACCCGCATCTCCTGCATCGGCAGGCGGACTCCCAAGCACTGCGCCACCAGGGAAGCCCACCCCCTGAGCTTTTACAGCACAGCTTCTGACATTGCTCATTAACTTGGGTTTTCCTTCTGTCATCTTCAGCCTTCGCCAGCACAGGCTTCGACCGCCACACTTCGCCCGTGTTCAGCCCCGCAAACCCCGACAGCTCCGTAGAGGACTGCTTGGCTCACCTCGGGGAGAAGGCGTCGCAGGAGCTGAGGGCGCCTCTGCTCGGGGCCTTGCAGACACTCCTCAGCCGGTGAGTCCCCACGGCCTCTGCACTCTTAAGCCTCTGTTTTAGGTGAACAGTGTCACTTCTTTTCTCACTTACTTCACTTTTTCTTTTTTTTTTTTTTTTTTTTTTTTTTTTTTTTTGCGGTACGCGGGCCTCTCACCGTTCTGGCCTCTGCTGTTGCAGAGCACAGGCTCCGGACGCGCAGGCCCAGCGGCCACAGCTCACGGGCCCAGCCGCTCTGTGGCACGTGGGACCTCCCCGGACTGGGGCACGAACCCGTATCCCCTGCATCAGCAGGCAGACTCTCAACCACTGCGCCACTGGGGAAGCCCCTACTTTTTCTTTTTTTGCTTTCCCAAATCATCTCTGTTTGCATTTTGAGCAGTGATTTAACTGTTCCAGCATGAATTTGACCGTTTGTATTTACTTGTTGGGCTGTCAGGTTTCAACAAATGCTTTCACCGGTTGTAAACACAAGCTGTTTCACTTGTGCTGAGCACTTTTTACCAGCAATCCCTCGTGACCAGCGTAAGTTGAATGACTGGGGTTTTATTCATTGCACTGTGGGATTGACATTGTGTCTGTATTTGGGGTGTCCCGGATGTTGCTACACTTTCGGGTTGCACACCTACCTGTGGAACTGCTGCCACATTCCTACTGTGGGAACTTCTTTCCTAGCTGTTGTGCTGGCTATTAAAGCCAAAGGCACGAAGCTCATCATGAAAGTATATTAAGTAGAACCAAGCCATTTATTGTAAACCTTAAAAATTTGCTTCCCTTAATTCTTTGATGAGAATCATTAACAGATTGGTGTGAATTTTAAAAAATGTTTGGTTTAATGAAGATTGACGATTAAAACAAGGTGAAGACTGTTCCTTCACTTAAGGGGCCAACATTCAGATGCCAAATTACTGTTGTAGTAAAGTAATCCCTTCCTTTCACAAAGGCAAAGCTTATACGTTACCATTTGTTAGAAGAAAGCAATTTGAGTTTAAGGATGATTCAGTTTGCTTCCGCATATTTTGGTGACATGAGCAAATGTAAAAATCCCAGCTATACATAAGAAACAGTGAAATGAAAATCATATTTGAATTTTCTTAACTTCATACGTAGAAGCTTTAAAAATAAACGTGGAGAGAAGATTCTGGGTGTGGGGAAGTAAGCCTGAGACAGGAAACCTGGAGGCGCAGCAGTGGCTCTCAGAGCGCCGCGAGGTGAGGGGCGGTGGCCGGGCCCGCTCGCTCTTCTCCGCCAGAGCAGCCACACCTGCATGGAGTTTGTACATTGAGCTTCACCTTAGGTGTGAGGAGCCTCTACTCTTTGGCCGATACAAACGTAAAGAACCGGTAAAGGCAGCTGGGGCTGGGGGTGAAGTGCCTGAGAAGCATGAGGCAAAAAGTGGTCTCCAGCTTTGACGCAGACTATTTGTGTCAAGCCATTTCACTCTGCCCTAGCTTCTCTGTTCATTCCAACTTTTGGGATATTACGAGCTCTCCAAAGAACAGCATTATAGTTTTATATATGTACAGTGTATGTGAAGAACAGTATTCTAGTATATGTATTTGGAGTCCTTTTCATGATCTACAGGACAAATTGATCTTTTCACTGCAAAGTAAATTATATTTGAAAATACAGTCTTGGATGAATATTTGTTTTGTCTTCCCCCAAAGCTGAACAACTTCAAAAAGTTAGCTGCTGATGAACTTGAAGTATATGCAGGTCAATGGCAGTATTTTTAAGGTGGAAAATACTACTTATTCCCCCAAACAGTTTTGTTAAAGGAGGGAAAAGCTAGTCCTGAACTCTGCATACAGCCAAGCACCAGCAATCTGAAAAGTTTTTCCCCTGGAATTCCCTGGCAGTCCAGTGGTTAGGACTTCACCATTTCACTGCCGAGGGCACAGGTTCAATCCCTGGTTGGGGGATCTAAGATTCTGTGAGCTGCACAGTGCAGCCAAAAAAAAAAAAAGAAAGAAAGAAAAGAAAAGTTTTTTCCCTCCCCTTTCTTCTTTGCTGAATTCAAGTAGCTCATTAGATAGGGCTGATTTTTTAACTACTTATTTTTCTACGTTTAGGATTTCCTTTGAGGGCTTCCCTGGTGGCGCAGTGGTTGAGAGTCTGCCTGCCGATGCAGGGGACGCGGGTTCGTGCCCCGGTCCGGGAAGATCCCACATGCCGCGGAGCGGCTGGGCCCGTGAGCCATGGCTGCTGGGCCTGCGCGTCCGGAGCCTGTGCTCCGCAACAGGAGAGGCCGCAGCAGTGAGAGGCCCACGTACCGCAAAAAAAAAAAAAGAAAGAAAAAGATTTCCTTTGAGTGTTTTAATCTGCTGGGTCTTTTATGTGCATATATGTGTGTACGTATAATGTTTCAAATCATGTTTCATTCTGAAGGATGCTAAAGTACTTAAGCCTGATAGACAGACTCCGCGTAAGGACTGGCATGGTGCACAGCGCAGCAGGCAGTTCAGGAGAGGACATGAAGGGGCTGATGCATGCAAGCAGAGCTGTAGGGAGCAACAGGCAGGTTAGATGGTAGCGTGTCTGCTTCAGGCCTGTGTTACAACCACCTAGTGTGTCGCCCGGGTCTTCAAACAGTTCTATGCTTACTTTAATGGCAGTGCGATAGCAGGAAGGTCGCACATAGCATCTTATTAAGACGGTCATCCCTCATATCTTAACTCCTTCAGTGTCACTGTGCTGTTTACATTATATTGACTTACAGAAAAGAACTATACCTGTGTCATCAGAATTGTTTTCTGAAACATCTAGAGCCACACGCTGTCCAGCAGATAAAATGCAGGTCACATGTATGTAATTAAAAATTTTCTAGCAGCCACGTAAAGATATTAAATACAGATTTTAAATATATTTTATTTAACTCAATGTGTTAAAAATATTATAGTTGGAACATGTATTTATTATAAAAATTATTGGTGAGATGTCGTAGGTTCTTTATTTTTAGCGAGTCTCTGCAGTCTGGTGGTGTGTTCCTCAATAATAATGAGGATTATTGGACCTCATTACCCTGGTCCAGATGCTCGTTGGCTACATGGGGCATCAGTGGGTCGTGGCCCATTTCAAAATCCTAGGAGCAGCGGCGTGTCCTTTGGAGCCAGCACTAACTGGGTGTGAATTCCTATTCCTCTGTTGCTGCTTGCAGCCCTGTGGGTTTGGGACAGTCTCTTAGCTTTTCTGAGCTTCAGTTTCCTAGTATGCAATAGAATATAAAACACAAATGTATAAAAATATAAAACATAGCAATAGGCTACCAGTAAGTGTACCTGTTATCAATCTTAAATATTCATAGGCTGAAGAGATCACAGACCGGGGTGGTCAGAGCAGAAAATGCCTTTGGAATGGATTTTAAAATCCTATAAAAGCAAGACTCCTCTCCTTTTTTACATATATGTTAATTCTTTGCCAACAAAAGGCGGTGGGGAGAGGGGGGAGGTAAATCTTTACTAATCTGTTGTCCAAGAGCCTTGGTGCCTTCACGTGTAAGTTGCTATGGAGTGTCTTTTGTCGTTGGTGTTAATTTGCACATGGGCCCACGCTGGGAGTGCAGCACTCACATCCATCCCCTCAGTAAACGCGTGTCTGTGCGACAGGAAAAATCAGGAGAGCCTCGCCCCAGGGTTGGGTGTCACAAGACTCCAGGTTAAAAATAGAGCTCATTATTGACCTTGCTTATTCCAACTTATGTCCCCAGTTTGAAAAGTCTTCCAGTGACAGTGTCTCTTTAATTTTTAAATATTTTACATTTTTTGCCTTTAACTTGTTAAAAAAGTTTAACTTGTTCTTTCAATTTTATTAATGAGATAATTTTTATTTGTTATTACTTGATTCTGTATTAATAACCCAAATGTTTATATTTATCTGCAACATAGAAGCCTTGTTGGATAAGTTTCAAGCAATTGTAAAAAATTTGTTACTATATATTTTTCTCTTCTTATGTTGTAAACTGCTTTCCCAAGCTGGTAGCATAAATCTCAGCCTGTAGAGAATGCTTAAAGAAAAATGCATACCAAATGTTAAAAGCCATGTCTCACAGAAAACTATATGTTGAAAAATCTGTGTTACTTTAGCAAAAAGTTCAACAGCAAAGTAGTGACTGTATGTTCATTTATCTGGAAATTTAGAATTTTCCTTCTTTGTGACACAGACTTTTAAAAAAAATCTCTACAGGCCATTGACATATCAGGCATATCGGGAATGTACACTGGAGACCACAGTTCATGCCAGCGGCTGGAATAAGGTATAAACCAAGTTATCTTTTCTCTTACAAGATTTTAGTGTGTTAGTGATAAAGTACAGGAGGGATTGATAGCATTGTATAAGAGAAAACTGTTAGAGCTTGTTGTTTAATGCATAAATCCAGCTGTGTTATGCAGTGTTTCTGATTAAGGCTGGCGCAGAACCACATGTTCCGTAGTTGTGCCATCTGCCTTCCCATCTGTCCTGAATTTCCCATGATCTCTTCATTTCTCTGCCTTAGATGTGACATTTCTCTCCAGGTGGTCATTTGTTCACAGGTGAGTATGTTTTGGGGACACAGCTTCTTGTGGTTCTTACAGGGGTACCATCTGAGCATTACAGCCATCCCTCAGAGATGGCAGAATGAATTTTATTAACTTTTGTTTTGTTGTTTAGTTAGCTAGTTAGTTAGGTCAGGTGATTAATCAGGAAAAAAAAGTTAAAGTACTTGCTTAAGACCCCTTGACTCGTACATTTTGGAACCAGCACTGGAGCTGAGATCTTTTGATTCCAGCCTCAGTGTTCTTCCACTGAACCATGCTGCTGATCCATTGTCTCAGGCTGTATTACCCACTTGTCACCTTGCCGGGGCGAGTCTCGGGGATGCGGTATGGGGTGGTCCAGCTCACTGAGGGGGAAGTCTGGCCCTTAGTGATGTGGTGCTAGGGATGAGAAAGTGCAGTACAGTTATTTTTATAAATTGCCACCTCTACTCAGAATTGTCACTACTATGAGCCAGACTGTGTGACCTTATGTACCTAATTGATGTATATTATTTTTACTCACCTTAATACAGGCTTTGGAGGCATTATAGCATAATCATTAGCATCATAGGCCTGTAATCGGACTTGTTTCAATATCAGCTTTGCCCCTGACTAGATGCATATCTTTGGACAGGTAAATTAAGCACTCGAACTCTTAATTTTCACATATGTGAAGTGGAGATGATACTGCTAACTTCAGAAGTTTTATTAGAACTGAGTGACATAATGTGTGGTTCAGTGCTTATTTTAGTGCAGTGTCTGGCCCCATAGTAAGCACTCTGTAAACAGTGGCTATTATGTTAGATTTAGCACATAGAACCTTGTTACCAAATAGTCACTATTATGGAGTTTTAGTATGTTACTTAGCTGTAAAAAATTTGTTAAAATATCTGACTGTTTCATTCGCTTTCGTGGAATAAAACAAGCAAACCTCTCGTTTTATAGATAACAATGAGCGTGGCTATGATACATTTCTTAGTACGTCAAACAGCAGATACTTAGATACCTGATGTGACGAGCCTTCTCCCTGTTTTATGTTCTTTTCCTATCTCCCTTGTCTAGGACTGTCACAAGCAACTGTCGTACATCTCCCTGCCTTCCCCCCCCCTGCCCCGCATCCTATGCTTATCCTAAAAAACTGGAGTAAACGCCAGTCTTTACTCTCCCTCCTCACCCATCCTTTTTTCCCATTCCCTGCTTCATCTTGCCAAGGTTGTGGCTTGAATACCTCATGTAAATGAAGCATGCCAATTAGAATATGGCTTGCTCTGATGAATCCAGTATTACCCTCCGAAGTCCTTTAGGGCTAAAAAGAACCTGGCTTATTATGATAGGAAACTGAAATGCCTCTTTCCACCCCAGTTAGAATCAGATTGGCTTATTTAAGCAATTAGCCCATATTTTGCATTTTATGTTTTGCATGAATGTTTGCAGAATTCTGATATAGCATCATTATATGAATATGGCTATCTGGTAGGTACATAAGACTCAAATGAAAAAAATGTCCACAAGCATGCCAAGTTTCCAAACTGAATGTCAGTTCATCTGTATAGGGATTTTAAAAGCATCTTGGTATAATGCTCTTTAAATAGATCAAAAGAAGTGGAGGAATAAAGCTGTCACAAACCCATATTAATAGAATGATTTTTTTAAAGTACATGTATAAATGTAGGCTGTATAGTATGTATATGCCAAGAAAAATAATTGGAGTGTGTGCCAAAACATTAAGTAATCCATAGTAGTTATCTCAGAATTGTAGATTATTCTTTAATTTTCTTTTATTTTTCCTCATGGGAATTGGTTTTCCTGTGAACTTAACTGCTTATAGAAAAAGAGGAGAATGGCCATTAAAGGGAAAGGCTAGAGTGTTAGGGCACAGTGCTCACATGTAATAAACAGACTTCAGAGACACGGTAGCAGAGAGGAGTGAACTGTCTGCCTTGGTTAAGTTTTACTGGCATATTACATCACTCATCTTTTAAAATCTTTCATTATTAAAATGTCAGGCATGCACAAAGCGGAGCGAATACTGTAACAAACCCGTGTCCGTCACTCAGCCTCGGCGGCTTTCAGTATGCGTCTGGTCTTGTTTCATCTGTTCCCCACACTGTACCCCTAGATTACCTTGAAGCACACCTTATACATACATTAGTATGTATTTCCAAGGATAATTATATCCCTTTTTTAACAACTGAGAATACCATGATTACACCTCAGATATGAACAGTCATTCTCACATCAGCACATAGTCTGTTTATTCAGTATTCACCTTTTCCCAGTTGTTTCACAAAGGTATTTTCCTCAGCTGATTTGTTTGAATCGAGATCCAGACAAGGCTCATGCATTGTATTTGGTTGATATGTCTCGTCTTTAAAGATTTTTTTGAAATATAATTCATATACCATAAAATTTACCCTTCTGAAATATACAGTTTAATGTTTTTTAGTACAATCACAGAGTTGTGCAGCCATCTCCACTGTCTAATTCCAGAACATTTTTATCTTCCCTGAAAGAAACCCCATACCTTAGAGTAGTCACTCCCCATTTCCTATTCCTTCCAGCCCCTGGCCATATGGTTTGACTCTGTCTCTAGGAATTTGCTTGTTCCGGGCATTTCATATACATATGATCACATAATATGTGACCTAAGTCTCTTAATTTGCAGACTTACTCTTCCTCTTGGGTTTTTTTTTTTTTTTTCTCTCTCTCATTACTTACAGATTATTTGTTCTGTTAAATTTTCTACCTCCTGGATTTTATTGACGGCATCACTGAGATGCCAGCTAACATGCACAGCTGACCCTTGAACAATGCGGGGGTTAGGGGCACCGACCCTCCCTCTAGCTGCAAATGTTCATATAACTTAAAGTTGGCCCTCCTGTCCTCATACATGCATCCCTCCATACCTGCAGTTCTGCATCTGCGGATTCACCAAACTGCGGATGGGGTAGTACTGTAGTTTTTTTGTTTTTGTTTTAATTAATTTATTTTTTATTTTAGGCTGCGTTGGGTCTTCATTGCTGTGCATGAGCTTTCTCTAGTTGCTGCGAGCCGGGGCTACTCTTCCTTGCGGTGTGCGGGCTTCTCATTGCGGTGGCTTCTCTTGCTGCGGAGCACGGACTCTAGGCACGCGGGCTTCAGTAGTTGTGGATAGCGGGCTCCGGAGCGCAGGCTCAGTAGTTGTGGCGCACGGGCTTGGTTGCTCCGCAGCATGTGGGATCTTCCTGGACCAGGGCTTGAACCCATGTCTCCTGCATTGGCAGGCGGATTCTTAACCACTGTGCCACCATGGAAGCCCAGTACTGTAGTAGTTACTGTTGGGAAAACTCAGTGTATCACTTATAGATAGCCCTCAGTATCCGTGGTTCCTCCAGTTCAGGTCCATGCTGTTCAAGGGCCGACTGTATCTCCTTTCCATTGGTAGGTTCCTCTAGAGGCCTGATCATATTCAGGTTTAATCTTTGTGGCAAGACCATGTCAGTGGTGGTGGTCTCTATTTCCTGTGGCATCACACTGAGTGACACATAATGTCTGGTTGTCTCTTAAATTTTATTTTGAAGCAGATATTTCAAAGGCATTCAAACCTAATCAATGGATTAGGTTTAGATATCAGGTGTACACATGATATAAAATGCAGAATTGATGGAGAAGATCCAGGAAAGGATAACTTAAACGATAAAAGCAGTGGAGGAATTGCTATGTGAAGAACAGACTAAAAAATTAGTAGATTTCAGCGTAAAAAGTATAGTGGATGAGAGGGAATACGGTTAAGGACTAAAGACAGTAGTGAAAGAGGACTACAGATTTATCTCTAGATTATTACATAGTAAAACGGGGGCAACTACATTTGATACATGAAAGAGGTAAATTTGGAACAAATAAGTATTATTTTTATATAGCAAGTATGAAATATTTGCAACTCATTTTTTTAAGAGGTAATAGAGCTTAAACGTGAATAACTTTAAAATATGCATGTTCGTAGAGAATGTTTTGAGGTATGGAACGTCCCAGGCCTTTGGAGCTGGTGTGTTGTGAGTCTGTAGGGCTGGTTCACAAGCTCCTCTCCTGCTCCAGCTGAGACAGAATACTAGGCTGGATGAACAGCCGTGTTCATTTCTGTTTTCAAAAGTGTTACAGGTTTCTGATTGTAGAAAAAGCCTAACACAGTCTTCTTTATAGCCCTATACCCCTCCATTGGTGCTAAGAAGGGGTTTTTACTGCATTTTGGGCTGGAGTTCTTTTAGAATATCAAAAAGTGAAGATGTGTGTTTTTTGCATTTTTCTTTCAGACTTTGATAGAGATTCCTTCAGGGCTGCTTTTACTTAAAAAAAAAAAAAAAAAAAAACCAAAGAATATTAGTAAGGATATAAACTCATTGTCTTTTCTGTTTGTCCTCTTCTGCAGAAATGTGTTGTAATCCCTCAGCTATGACCTTGGCGGGTCAGTGACAGGAAACTGGAATTGGTTTCATTTCCTTTCACGGTCCTTCCCAGTTGTGTGGAGACCTCTTGATGTTTTAGACAGAAGAGGCTGCCTGCAGATAGTTAATTGAAAGTACTTAGTTCTTTTCAGTATGCAGGGGTTTTTTTTGGAAAGAAAGGGACTCTAGTTAGTATCCGAAATAAATTTTTATGATTTTAAAATATTGAGCCGTAAGGTTGTTAGGAGTGATAATAACACCTCTGGTTTTTGATGACTTGTATAAGATAGCTCATAATTTTGAAAGTTCTTGTTTTCAAATAGAATAAAAGCCCATGGTACAAAATGCACAAAGTACAGAAGACATACACTTGAAAATACTCTCCCACCCTTGTCACCACTTACCTAGTTTTCCTCTTTTTAGGCTACCACTATCACCAGTTTCTTAGGTATTTTTCAGAAATAATATAGGGTTATACAAACGTGTATGTAAGTGTTTTGTTCTGTTAACAATAATGTTAATAATGGTACCATTATTGCACATACTCTCCTTTATCTTTTTTCACTGAAAGTAAATCTTGGTAATTGGGCAGTGGACGATCTTATTCTTTTTAACAACTACTTGATATTCTACTGGATGGCCAAAATTTGGTCTGTTGGGTTGTTTCCGGTCTTTTGCTATTATAAATAATGCTTCAGTGAATTTCCTGTACATATGTTGTTACACACACACGCGCACGTGCACACACACACACAGGCCCGGTTGTTTTCATATAATATTTCTACCACCCTGTGGTATAAAACATACATGCATTATTCTCAAAAACTCTAGTAGGGGTCACTATTTTATTTCCTTTATTATAATAAAAATGGAGTTCCATTATGATGCACTGGAGTGTATTTTCTAGTAGTTGAACATATAAAATGAACTGTAAGAATTTCAGTTTGTTTTTTACTCTCTCATCTTTGCCTTAAAGGTTTTGGTGCCTCTGATTTTGCTACGGCAAATGCTTTTGGAGTTGACAAGACGTGGTCAAGAACCTTTGAGTGCATTGCTGCAGTTTGGTGTGACTTTCCTGGAGGACCATGCCGCCGAGTACATCATTCAGCAAGGTGGCTGGGTATGCGCTTTCAAGCTCTTTTTGTTTTTTTTTTTTAATCTTCTTAAAAGAAAAATAAAATTAAGCCCCTCATGGTTGTTTTTAAAAGCATAGGTTAAATATCATTAACATTATTATACAGTGTTATTTAATATTGTGATTGGATGGTGATCAATGGAAAGACTATTGCAGTTTAAGTTAAATTAAGATTTTACTCCTAAATTCTTAAGTGTTTTTTTAAAATATTTATTTATTTATTAGGTTGCACTGGGTCTTAGTTGCAGCAGGTGGGCTTCTTAGTTGCAGCTCGCCAGCTCCTTAGTTGCGGCACATGGGCTCCTTAGTTGTGTCATGCGGGCTCCTTAGTTGTGGCATGTGAACTCTTAGTTGCAGCATGCATGTGGGATCTAGTTCCCTGACTAGTGATCGAACCCAGGCCCCCTGCATTGGAAGCGCAGTCTTCACCACTGTGCCACCAGGGAAGTCCCCATGTGTGGTATTTTTAAGTGCTTATAATTATGACACATTTCATACCAGCAAAAAGTGTATAAATAACTTCTATATACTTAGTATATAAAAGTATATAATAACATATACTGAGAAAAAATATATAATAAGTATATAATAACTTTTAGGGGCTTCCCTGGTGGCGCAGTGGTTGAGAGTCCGCCTGCCGATGCAGGGGACGCAGGTTCGTGCCCCGGTCTGGGAAGATCCCACATGCCGCGGAGCAGCTGCGCCCGTGGGCCATGGCCGCTGGGCCTGCGCGTCCGGAACCTGTGCTCTGCAACGGGAGAGGCCACAACAGTGAGAGGCCCGCGTACCACATAAAACAAAACAAACAAACAAAAAAAAGTATATAATAACTTTTATATACTTACACTTTAGAGGTGAGGAATAATAAATGAACACCTATGTATTTACTCTCCCAGTCGAAGAAAAGAACACAGTCAACACTTTTTTGAGTCTCCTTATATACCCCTCCTAGATATCCACATGTTCCTACCTACTTCACGAGGGCAACTTCTATTCTGAATTATAGTTTTAATATGTATATATCCCTAGACAGTATATTATTTTGTATGTTTGGAACTTTATGTAAATAGTATCTTATGTATTCTTCTGTAACTTGCTGTTTTCATTCAGTGTTGTATTCTTTTTTTTCTGTGGTACGCGGGCCTCTCACTGTTGTGGCCTCTCCCGTTGCGGAGCACAGGCTCCGGACGTGCAGGCTCAGCGGCCATGGCTCACGGGCCCAGCCGCTACATCTTCCCAGACCGGGGCACGAACCTGTGTCCCCTGCATCGGCAGGCGGACTCTCAACCACTGCGCCACCAGGGAAGCCCCAGTGTTGTATTCTTAAGATTCACTTAGGTCATTGTTTGTCAACTTTTTTTTCATTATCACCCCCCTAAGTTTCCTTTTTAGACATTTTTATCCTTATCATCTCCTTCCTCCCCACGTGAAATTTTAAAAGCACAGATATAAGTCTGTTTATGTACTGGGGCCTTTTGGAGGGCCACAGGCCTTTGTAATATCTAAGATTGCTCACATATCCCCAGACCAGTTTTAACCCTTGACTTCATCCCCTTTGAGAACACATGATCCTAGTTGATGTGTTGATGGGCGTTTGGTTTCCATGTGTAAATATGTCACAATTTATCTGTAGTTTATTTATCTACAGGCTTGCCAGTAGACATTTCTTCCTTTTTGCTGTTGGAAAGAGTCTCATCCATATGTGCAGGAGTTTCTCTGGGTATATACTTGGGAGTAGAATTTCTGGTTCCAAGAGTATAGACATGTTCTAATTTATAAGATGATGCCAAAGTGTTTTCCACAGTGGTTTCCAGCTTGCCCTCTGTCAACAGCGTATAAGAGTTTTTCTTTTTAAATATGAGAATTTTTGTTGTTGTACCTCCTCCCCAACACTTAATATTGTCAGACTTATTAATTTAAAAAATTATTTATTAAAATAAGATTATTTAGGAATAATTTTAGATTTACAAGAAAGTTACAAAGATAAAGCATCCCCACATGCCCTTCACCCAGTTTCCCCTAGTGTTAACATCGTGCATGACTGTGGCTCCTTTGTCAAGTTGGCTTTTCCACATTGACTTTATATCCAGCATATTTATTCAACTATCTTATTATTCTGATTATCTCTGGGCTCCTGTGGGTTTTCTACATAGAAAATCACACCATGTGTGAATAATGTCAATTTTTTTTCCTTGATGAGTCTTTTTAAAAAAATGTATTGCACTAATCATCACCATATTAACAGAATTGGTATTAGAATCCATCCTTGTCTTTTCTGATGTTAATGTGAGTTAAATTTCCTTTAATCGTTCCACCACTTAGTTGTATCAGTCCCGGTGAGTGAGGTTGGCCTGTACTTTTTCTTGTTTGGTTTCAGTTTTAAGGGTGTGCTGGCTTCTTAAAAGAATTTAGAGTTGGGAAGAATTGTTCCTCCTTTTCTGTGCTCTGGAACAGTTTGTATGAGACTCAGATCATCTGTGCCTTGCTTCCTATAACATTCCTTCAAAACCACCTGGTATTTTCTTTGAGGGAAGGTTTCTGTTTTTTCTTGTCAGCTTTTGATAATCTTTCTGGAATATTATCCCTAAACTTTCAGATTTGTTGGCATAGAGCCAACATATTTTCTTTTTTTTTGGAGGAAGGTACAGTGGATTTTAATTTTTTTAATTCTCTTACACTACTTACTTTTTAAAAAAGTTTTCTTTTGGAGAATTTTGTATATATATGGAAACAGACATGAGAGTATAATGAACCCCCATCACTTAGTCCTAGCAGTCATTAATTTACTGCCAGTTATGCTTTATTCACATCCTAATCACTTCCCTTCTTAATACAGTAGTATTTTGAAGCAAAACCAGACATCCTATAATTTTATCTGTAAAGATTTCACTATGTGTCTCTGAAAAATAAAGGTTCTTTTTTTATTTTAAATCACAATACCATTGCCACATCACAAAAAAAATTAAAAATAATTTCTTCATATCATCAAATATCCTGTTAGCATTCAAATTTCCAAATGTCTCAAAAATAGCCTGTCTTTAAGTCTATGCAATGTGTGGGTCTGTAGTTCCTTTTTTATTTTATTTTACTTTATTCTTATTTTTCACCGTGTTGGGGCTTCGTTGCTGCGTGTGGGCTTTCTCTAGTTGTGGCGAGCGGGGGCTGCTCTTCATTGTGGTGCATGTACTTCTTATTGCGGTAGCTTCTCTTGTTGCGGAGCACGGGCTCTAGGCACGCAGGTTTCAATAGTTGTGGCTTGCGGGTTCAGTAGTTGTGGCTCACGGGCTCTAGAGCGCAGGCTCAGTAGTTGTGGTGCACGGGCTTAGTTGCTCCGCGGCATGTGGGATCTTCCTGGACCAGGGCTTGAACCCATGTCCCCTGCATTGGCAGGGGGATGCTTAACCACTGCACCACCAGGGAAATCCCGAGGCTTATTAATTTTATTTATTTTCTCAAAGAACCAGTTTTTGGTTTTGTTGATTTTCTCTATTGATTTCCTGTTTTCAATTTCATTGATTTCTGCTCTTTTTTTATTATTATCTTTTCTTCTGCTTACTTTGGATTTAATTTACTCTGCTTTTTCTAGTTTCCTAAGGTGGAGGCTTAGATGATTGATTTTCGATCTTTCTTCTTTTCTAATATATGCATTCAGTGCTGTAACTTTCCACTTAAGCGCTGCTTTCACTGTCTCACACAAATTTTAATAAGTTGTATTTTAATTTACTTCAAAAGATTTTTTAAATTTCTCTTGAGGTTTAGTCTTCGACCCTTGTGTTATTTAGAAATATATTGTTTAATCTCCAAGTACTTGAGGATTTTCTGGCTGTCTTTCTGTTATTGATTTCTAGTTGCATTCCATTGCAGTTTGAGAGCAGGCGTGGTATAATTCTGTTCTTTTAAATTTGTTAAGGTATGTTTCATGTCCCAGAATTGGGTCTGTAGGTGAATGTTCCATATGAGCTTGGGAAGAAGGTGTACCCTGCTGCGGTTGGACGGCAGTGGAGTCTGTAGGTGTCCATTGTATCCCGCTGCCTGCCTGCCTGCTGGATCTGTCCATTTCTGATGGAGGGTGTTGAAGTCTCCCGTTGTCTTGGTGGATTCATCTGTTCTCTTGCAGCTCTTGGTTAGGTGTGTACATATCAAAGACTATTACATCTTCTTGGAGGTTTAACCCCTTATCGTTATGTTACACCCCTCTTCATCCCTGATCAGTTTCCTTGCTCTGAAATCTGCTCTGTGTGAAATTAATGTAGCTACTCCCTCTCCCTTCCTTCCTTCCTTTAACATTCAGTATTTGTATTTTAGACATGCAGGGGAAGCTATTTGAGAATCCACTAATTTAAAGCAAGCAGCTGTATACAGATAACAAAAGAAACATCTCGTTACAGCTTGGCACACAGCATCCGAAGCAAATAGGCATGAGACTGTGAATGTTTATGTAGCATTAAAACCATGTGAATAACATGCTGCAGGGCTGGGAGAGGGAGAGAGGGAAAATGTAAATGTGAAGACCAGTGTTTCCAGTGCTCTCAGGGTGTAATGCTACATTTCTCATTTGATGACCCATCCGGGTGCTTCAGATGTGATGTGCGGTGAGAATGGCAAGGATGGAGACAACCAATCTGCATACCTGCCTAATATATTTTCACAGGTCTTCTTTCAGTGGAAAACCAGTTTGAGCATCTCTTGAATTTGTTGTTTAATGATAGCTTTCTTATCTCAGGCTTTAAACTCTCTAGATATAAACAGTGAAGTATTTAGTACTTTCCCCTTTATAATAAAATATGTTCCATGTTTCATTAAATATTTATTTATTTATTTAGGCTGCACCAGGTCTTGCGGCATGTGGGATCTTAGTTGTGGCACGCGGACTTTTTAGTTGTGGCATGCATACAGGATCTAGTTCCCCAACCAGGGATCGAGCCTGGGCCGCCTGCATTGGGAGCACAGAGTCTTACCCACTGGACCACCAGGCAGGTCCCCCA